AAAAAAAAAAAAAAAAAAAGAAATGAAAGGATACTAGACAGCAATTCAAAGCCATATTAAAAAATAAAGATCTCAATAAAGGTAAATATATGAACAATTATAAAAGCTACTATTATTTTAACAAGGGTTTATAACTACACTTTTTGTTTTTTACATGATTTAGGAGACTAGTTTAAAAAAACTGTATTAATCTAAAAGGTAGTGTTACTATAACTTCAGTTTATAACTCCACATTTAGTTTCCTACATAATTCAAGAGACTAATGGGTTTAAAAGAGTTATTAAGATTGAGGGCATACAATATATAAAGACGTAATGTGGTAACATGACCAACTAAAAGAGGTGAGAACAGAACTGTAAAGGAGAACTTCTTCTCCTGATATAAAATCAAATTAGTGTTATAAATTTAAGATATTAAATGTAATCCCCATGGAAACCACAAATAATCAGCTAGGGATAATATACACAAAGGAAATGAGAAAGGAATTTAAACATTTCACTACAGAAAGTCAACTGAACACAAGAGAAGACAGTAATGAGAAACAAAAAAAAATCTATAATGCATATAAAAAGCCAATATCAAAATGACAGAAGTCTCTCTGTATTAGTAATTACTTTAAATGTAAATGCATTAAACTCTCCAATTAAAAAACAGAGATTGGGGGTGCCTGGGTGGCTCAGTCAGTTGAGCATCCAACTTCAACTCAGGTCATGATCTCACAGTTTGTGAGTCTGTGCCCCACATCAGGCTCGCTGCTGTCAGGGCAGAGCTTGCTTCAGATCCTCTGTCCCCCCCACTCTACCCCTTCCGCACTCATGTACTCTCTCAAAAAAATTAAACATTTAAAAAAGTTTTTAGGGGCACCTGGGTGGCGCAGTCGGTTAAGCGTCCGACTTCAGCCAGGTCACGATCTCACCGTCTGTGAGTTCGAGCCCCGCGTCGGGCTCTGGGCTGATGGCTCGGAGCCTGGAGCCTGTTTCTGATTCTGTGTCTCCCTCTCTCTCTGCCCCTCCCCCGTTCATGCTCTGTCTCTCTCTGTCCCAAAAATAAATAAACGTTGAAAAAAAAAAATTTAAAAAAGTTTTTAAATAATAATAAAAAACAGAGATTGGCAGAATTGATAAAACACGTGATCCAAGTATATGTGTCTACAAGAGACTTACTTTAGATCTAAAGACACAAATAGATTAAAAGTGAAAGAACGGAAAACGATATTACATGGAAATACAAGCCAAAAGCAAGCAGAAGTGGCTATATTATTATCAAACAAAATAGACTTTAAATCAGAAAAGATTACAAAAGACAATAAAGGACATTACATTTTAATAAAAAGTATAATACAGCAAGATGCTCTAACAATTGTAGACATATACTTAATGTCAAACCATCAAAACATATGAAGCAAAAAGCGACACAATGAAGGAAGAAAGAGACAATCCTACGGTAATACATGGAAACTTCAATACCCCATTCTCAATAATGGATAGCACAACCAGACAAACTAGAAGTAAGGAAATAGAGGACTTAACATAATAAGCTAAGTAGAGCTAACAGACATATACAGAATATTCTACCCCACAACAATAGCATACACATTCTTCTCAAGTGTACATGGAACATTTTCCAGGACAGACCATGTTAGGCCACAAATTACGTCTCAATAGGTTTACAAAGATAACACATAAACTATGATTCATTTCTAATGAAAATGAAAATTTAACATATCAAAACTTATGGGATGCAATGAAAGCAGCATTAACTGGGAAATTTATAGCCATAAATGCTTACAAATTGATAGCTTATAAATGCTAAATAACAAAAGAGATCTCAAATCAAACTAAAGACACCTTAAGGATGTAGGAAAAGAACAAACTGAAACCACAGCTAGGGGAAGGAAGGAAATAGTAAAGATTAAAGAGAACTGATATAGGGAATAGGAAAATAGAGAAAATCCATGAAACAAAAAGTTGGTTCTTTGAAAAGATAACAAAATTGGCAAACTTTTGGCTACTGAAAAAAAAAGATTCAGAGTACTAAATCAGAAATGGAAGTGGGGACATTACTATCAATTCTGCAGAAATGTTTAGTTTTTTTTAATGTTTATTTATTTTTGAGACACAAAGAGAGCATGGGAGGGGCAGAGAGAGAGGAGATAGAGAATCTGAAGTGGGCCCCAGGTTCTGAGCTGTCAGCACAGAGCCCAATGTGGAGCTTGAACCCGCAAACCTTGAGATCATGACCTGAGCCAAAGTCGGATGCTTAACTGACTGAGCCACTGAGGTGCCCAAGAGAGTACTATGAACTGTGCATCAACAAACTGTTTAACCTACATGAAATGGACAAGTTCCTAGAAACACAAAAGCCATGAAGACTAAATCAGGAAGAAACATAAGATCTGAATAAACCTATAACCAGTAAGGAGGCTGAATTAGTAGTAAAAAAAATCTACCAACAAAGAAAAACCCTGGCCCTGATGGCTACACTGATGAATTCTACCAAACATTTTAAAAGAAGAATGAATAGCAATCCTCAAACTCCTCGAAAATATTAAGGAGAAAGAAACACTTCTTAACTCATTAAGGCCATTAGTACCCTGACACCAAAGCCAAAGACATTACAAGAAAACTACAAACTAATATCCCTTATGAACAATGATGCAAACATTCCTCAACAAAATATCAGCAAACTTCAGTATATGAAAAGGACTGCACACCATGACCAAGTGGGGTTTATTCCTGTAATGCAAGAGCAATCTGACATATGAAAACTGATAAATGTGAATACACCACATTAATATAATGAAGGGAAAAGCCCACACAATCATCTCGATGCTGAAAAGCCTTTGACAAATTCAACATCCTTTCATGATAAAAACACTCAACAAACTAGGAATACAAGGAAACTTTCTCAATACAATGAAAGTCATAAATGAAAGACTCCTAGCAAACATGATACACAATGGTGAAAGACTGAAAGCTTTTCTTCTACTAAGATCAGGAACAGGGCAAGGATGTACGCTATCACCACTTCTATTCAACGTAACAATGGAAGTTCTAGGCAGAGGAATTAGTCAAGAAAGAGAAATAAAAGGCAGCAAAATTGGAAAGGAAAAAGCAAAATTATCTTTGTTTGCAAATAATATGATCTTATATGTAGAAAACTATAAAGATGCCACACACAGTAACTGTTAGAATGAGCTCAACAAAGTAGCAGGATACAAAGTCAACACAGAAAAATCAGTTGCATTTTTATATACTAATAATAAACTATCTGAAAACGAAATTACAAAAAAGGCCTGCTTACAACCACGTCAAAAAGAATGAAATACTTAGGAGTTAACCTAAACGACAAAGTAAAAGAGATACAATGAAAACTACAAAATGTTGCTAAAATGAATTAAAGATGTAAATAAATGGAAACGCATACCATATTCTTGGACTGGAAGTCTTAGTATTGTTAAGATATGGATATAAGTGTCTGACTTGGCTCAGGTCATGATCTCACAGTCCATGGGTTTGAGCCTCACGTCAGGTTCTGTGCTGACAACTCAGAGCTTGGAACCTACTTTAGATTCTGTGTTTCCCTCTCTCCCCTCCCCTGCTCACACTGTCTCCCTCTCTCTCTCAAAAATAAATATTAAAAAAAATTTTTTTGAAGATATTGATATAATCCAAAGTGATCTACAGATTCAATGCAATCCCTACCAAAATCCCAGGCATTTTTGGCAGAAACAGAAAAATCCATCATAACATCTATATAGTATCAGAATGGACCCTGAATAGCCAAAACAATCTTGAAAAAGAACAAACCTGAAGGACTCTAAATTCCTGATTTCAAAACTTACTACAAAACTACAGTAATCAAAACAGTATGGTACTGGCATGAAGACAGACATAGACCAAGAGAACAGAATCAAGATCCCAGTAACGAACTCTAGTATATATCATCAAATCATTTTTGATTAAGGGTGTCAAAACCATTCAATGGAGAAAAAGACACTGTTTACAACAAATGGTGCTTGGAAAACTAAGTATCTACATGCCAAAGAATGAAATTGAACCCTTATCTAACATCATATACAAAAATGAACTCAAAATCGATCAGAGACTTAAATGTGAGACCTACAACTATAAAATTCTTAGAGAACATAGAGCAAAACCTCCATGGCACTAGATTTGGCAATGATTTCTTAGATATGACACCAAAGGCATAGGCAACAAAAGAAGAAACAAATTGGAGCTCATAAAAATTAAAAAACTGCATCAAGATATTATCAACAGAGCAAGATAACCCAAAGAATGAGAGAACATATTTGCTCATCATATATCTGACAAGGGATTAATATCCAGAATATACAGAGAACTAAAACTCAAAAACAAAAAAATCCCAATGACAGAAATGGGCAAAGGACCTGAACTAGACATTTCCCCAAAGAAGATACACACACGGTCAGTAACCACAAAAGATGTTCAACACCATTAATCATTAGAGAAATGCAAATCAAAACTATAATAAGTTATCATCTCGACTTCATTAGGATGGTTATCAAAAAATCAGAAAATAACAAATACTGGAGCATGTAGGGCCATGGGAACTCTTGCGCAATGTTGGTGGAAATGTAAAATAACATAGTTTCTGTGGAAACGGTACGGTAGCTCCTCAAAAAGTTAAACAGTGGAATTACGAGAAAATCCAGCATTTTTTCTTGACATCTCCCAAAAGAATTAAAATCAGGTTCTCAAAGATACTTGTACACCCACGTCACAGCAGAATTATTCACAATAGCTAAAATATGGAAGCCACCAAGTGTCCAACGAGTGATAAATGGATAAGCAAAGTGTGGGATGTGGAATGTCACCGAGCCTTAGAAAGGAAGGAAATTTTGACACACGCTACAACATGGATGAGATTGGAGGACATTACGCTAAGTGAAATAAACCAGTCATAAAGACACACACACACTGTATCATTCCATTAATATGAAGTACCTACAGTAGTCAAAATCAGACACAGAAAGTAAAATGGTGGTTGCCGGGGGCTAGGGCAGAGAGATTGGGGGCGGTTATTGTGTGATGGGGAAGGACTTTCAATTTTACACAACGAAGAGCTTTGGAGATAGAGGTGGTGATGTTGCACCACATTATGAATGTGCTTGATGCCACTACTGTATATTTAAAAATGATAAAATGTTAAGTTTTATAAAAAGGATAAAATAAGAAATATACAAAAAACCCCTAAAAATCAAAAAGAAAATGCAAACAAGTTAATAGAAAAATAGGTATTTATCATGAAAGGACATTTCAAAAAAAATACAGATTGACCAATAATCCTATAATCAGGTGCTAAAGTTCCTCTGCAATGAAAGAGAAATAAATGGAGACCACAGGAGACCTAGTTTTGCACTCATCTGAGTGTCAAAAATTGAGGAGCCTTAGAGAATCGGGTCCTGGGCAAGGTATGGGTGGAAGGAGCTTCCATGCGTTCCCGGTGGAAGTGCCCGTTAGAACACACTGGCAATTATCCAGGAAAAACGTGGAAGTTGCATAGCCCGGAATCCATCAACCTCACTCCAGCAGACATCAAAGATGCCGTAACCACAGGCAGGAGGACCGCTGCGGGGACGACTCCGGGGAGCGCCTGTGTGAGCAGTGAGCACGTGAGC